CCATTGTTTCATCAGTCTCCATGATGACATCCCTCACCTTGTCCACAAAGTCCATGGTGTTCTGTATGTGGTGTTCTGAGCTGCCAATTAAAGGGATGAGTACGGACGCCAGATATTTGGAAACATTGTAAGTGACATAGTTAATCATGCTAACAATTGGTCTAAAATGAACACCTTGTTTGTGGATTTTAGTTAAACCATACAGACTAGGTGTGGCCTCCCCTGGGTACAGTCTGTGGTACAGAATACAGTCAATAGCTTTGTCCTGTTCCAAAATTTTCAGGCAATCTATCAACTTTTTCTTGTAACCACTTCCTTGATCTCTTTTCAGAGGTTCATAAGTGTTTAAGTCACTAAGGAGTGTCATAACTTTCTCATGAAAGAATGGCCATGTCCAGCAATCACTGTGCGAAGGTATCTCAAGGTATCTCAAGCATCCTCCTAACATGAATATATGTTTATGATCAACCCCCTGGTCAACCACTGCCCGCACTAAGCTGCTAAACTAGCGGGGAACACAGGTACATCCATCTCCTCCACCTGTGCGCGTTTTCTGCCGAGGCAAGAGGCAGGAAGGGACAGTGGAGAGTTGGAGGTAACCAGGAAAACCTGGAGTGGAGTTTTAGTGGCTTGAATATTCTCCTATTAATTAAGTGGAATGGATTCGTTCACGAAGAAAGAGAAACTGCGCCCCCTGAACTAACGTTTCTTAGTAAAAGTGGGGGGGTGGGGTCCAAATGAACGTTTTATTTAATGTGGGGGGGACTTGTTCCCTTCACATATAATGGTTGCGATGCCTATGGCAACAGGTAATATATTACTTGTTCATAACCTTTCCACAGAACCACACTTCTAATAATATACAGCGGCATATTTTACAGAAGCAAAGCTTTTCGAGCTAAATCTCCTCTGTGGGCTGAAATTAATCACAGTCGTCTTTGATCTCGTTCCATTAAGAGATATTAAAAATCACATTAAGCACCACTTTATAAATAAAGAAGTGTCAACTCAATATCTATTAATATGATGAAAAGCAATTTGATTTTTCTTTTACAAGGCAATCAATTGTAACTATCAATCACTTGTTAGGTCTTAATTAATGTTTGATGCCAGTGCACCCCTTCTTCATTCATGCAGCCAAAAAAACAAACACACAAAAGCAGAAGAGAAGCTCTGAAGCATCCAGGCTTTGATCCCGTCACAGTTTTGATGCCTGTGGATTTCACAGATGTGCAAAACTAACCGTGAAGTTTTCCTGCTTATGAATAAACCTTCATTAGAAAGTGAAAGGGTTTGTGACATCGCAGAGGGAGAACACCTGTAGGTCCAGTTACAATCTTTTGGTTTGCTTGAAAATTTGGTTTAGGATGAAAATTAGGCAGAGATTTGACATTTTTATCCAGAGAACAAACAAAACACTGAAGCACAAAGCACATTTTCACTGCACCTCACTTCAACTACACTAAATAAATCTGTAAGTTTAAAATGTGTTGACCCGTTTGATTCTCAGAGAAAAGATCCACAAAGTGATCTATTTGGAAACAGTTCAGTCTTAATACCGTATTTCTCGGACTATAAGATGCACTTAAAATCCTTGAATTTTCTCAAAAATCAACAGTGAGCCTTATGTATTAATTCTGGTTGTGCTTACTGACCTCAAACCTGTTTTTATGTGGTACACGGCACTCGAAAATCTGTCAAAATGAACGTATTTCAATTAATGCACCTTATAGTCCGAAAAATACTGTAAATAACTTCTTACACTTTGCTGCTTTTCTCCCTTATTTTTATAACTCTTTGACACTTTTGAACCAAATAAAGAAACTAGTTCAAACTTCAGATAATGTAGATTTCAATAAGCAAACCACAGCACCTTGCAAAAGATCATAGCCATCTTTTATTTCTTTATATTTGTCGACTTTCACGTTTCTTCAGGTTTTCTGAAGATCTGAGTTTTTCTTCAGATTTTGGTTGCTGATTAATACCCGTCTAATACCTGACCAGTCTAATACCTGACCAGTCTAATACCTGACT